ACAAATATAGCTTTTTAAAATCTGTTTATAGTTTAATTGCAACTACAACTCAAAGTTACAACTTCTCAACTCTCCTCCCGCCATGGAGGTATGACCAGTGGCAGACCTAGGATTTTTCTGAGTAAGGGGCCATCAAAGGGCCACAATATTCACAGAGGGGCCAAGTCTTTGTTCAACATCCTTTCACACAAATCCCCAGTTTTAATAAGGGGTAAACATTTAACCAGTCATACATGTTCAAACACTTGTAATGTAATGTATTCAAAAAAAGGGTACCACTTTACAATAAAACTCCCCTTATAGATGGCTTTTAAAGAGTTTATAGATAGGTTATTAATTCATCTGTAAAAACTTTATAAATTATTAATAAGTGTTTATTATGCGTTAATTAAAGTAAAAAAGAGACTAAATTGTCCGGTTTCTTTCCAAATACTGAGCCACATCTGTTTGTGTATTAAACATTTCAGACTAGTTTACTAACTTATAAGTACAATAATGATTAGGAAACACATATTTTAACATATAATATTGTACTGTATTAATGCATTATAAATATCCACAAATATTAAAGGGATCTTTTTTGTAAAGTGTGAAACTGTACAGTATATTGGATGGGGTGGGATTATTTCAAGCTGTGTGAAGCTGCCACCCCACCCACACAAAAAATCCAAACAAGTAAGCGGATTGGTTAGTGTTTCGTTTGTGCAGGTTTGTGCAGTTAAAATGAGCGTTTGTGCTGTTATAGTTTTTGAGAAATTAAACATTATGTCTTTAGCTCATTATGACGTCACCATCCCCCCAGCAAGCTCCGAAATGAACCAAAACAGTATACTTTTTTTGTGCTTCGTTTGTGCAGGTTAGTGCAGTAGAAATGAGCGTTTGTGCTGTTATAGCTTTTGAGATATTACAAGTTTTTACTTTAACGCGATGACATCATCGTCCCCCCAGCAAGCTCCGAAATGGTGACGTCATCGGCCGAAATTATAACTGCTAATATCTCGAAAATAAAAGCTGCACAAACGACAGTTTTTACTGCACAAACCTGCACAAACGGAGCACTAACGACCTAGCCCACTTTGGTTTGTTTTTGGAGCGATATGGGGTGATGGTGCACTCTAGATGACCAAAAAATATAATATTTAATATCTCGGAAACCAAAACTGCACAAACGGCACTTTTAAGGGCACAAACTTGCACAAACGGAGCACTAACGATTCTGACTATTTGATGGATTTTTTGACGTGGGTGGGGTGTCAGCTTCACACAGCTATTATTTCATATGTTAACATGGCATTTTTTTTACTTTTGTGATACATCATCATTGTTGACAGTAGTTACATATTTGAACAATAATTTCAAATATTGATTATCAAGACAAAGTTTTAAAAATGATGATTTTTTATATTAAAGACTAACTTTTGGCATTTATAAATTTTTATTTGTTATTAATAAATAGTGTATACTGTCTTACACTTTACGACAAGTCAGTCTCCCTTTGACAGTTGTGAATATTTATAATGCCGTAATACAGTACAATATTAATATGTTAAAATATGTCTTTCTTATCATTATTGTGCTTACAATGTAGTAGTCTGAAATGTTTTATATAGCATCTTTAGATGTAATATGTAGGTGAATGGATTTGTCTCATCATTATTTGGTAAAAAACTGGACAGTTTTGTGTCTTTCTCGTCATTAATTGTTGCATAATAAACATTTATTAAAAATTTATAAAGTGTTTACAGATGAATTAGAGTAATTTACCCCAAAATTAACTTTTTTTAGCTGATAAACTGTCTAGAATGTGTCTAAAATGTTATATAGTAC